CCCATCATCTCAAACCTCATAGCCATGAGGCGCTCGTCCACGTACTCCGTGGTGTACTGGGAGGATTTGCACAGCGTCTCCTCCACAGCGATTCCGACGCCATGCGTACCACCCTTGTCCGTGCCACAGGTGAACACCCGAAAACCGGATGCTGCGAACTCCGTTCGCCCTGGTCTCCTGACCTCCTGCAGACCGACAAACGAAATGCCCTGTTTCGCTGCCTCGTGTAAGACGCTGTCGGCTCTCCCATAGCCGTTGGCCCCGTTCACGGCCAGTGTACGCACATTGTAGGTTGCTACCCTAACAAGTCGACCCTGCCGCCTCTGCCGGGCGGTGCGTGCTGCATCCCTAATCAGCCTACGCACCTTCCGGCCCCTCCTCCTCTTCTTCCTTTTTTTGCGGCGAGAAAAAAACAACAAGGTCCCGCCGCATGAAACCGTCAAACCGAATTCTTGGTCGTCTAGACTACTATTTCGAGCCTCGACCCTTCACAACCTTACAACCTTGACAACCCTGTAATCGTTCATATATCAGTAGGAGGTTTGGTGCCCGTACTAGACAGATGGCATCGAGGTGGTGCATGGCTAGCTACAATGGCTTCCCCGGGGCTGTTCTACATTTAGTCTTATGTGTGTGCGCACCTGCTTCGTCGTGCACGCGCGTCTTTCCCCCGCACACGCACCAGGATGCGCTCTTACCTATTGCTATGTACGTGTACGCACCGCTGATCACGAGACTGCTGTTGTTGTATTGAACACAGGGCGCGCAAAATGTGACGTCATGAATGAAACTGTAACCTTTATTTGGGGTTCAAACCACGAGGGCTATTGCATGCTCTTCAGATCGGCTGATGACATTCAGTCGAAGAAGGGCCCCAAGTGTCGTGTACAACCGACAAAGGAGAGGCCGAGTTGAGGACGGGTGTGACAGATAGTAGGCCAGATCAAGCGAGAGTAATTTCGTGGAAACACTATGGAGAGCTCGGGTGTCTCAGCGAAGATGGTGTCTGACAGTGAGTGCCCTCTTTCCGTGTCCATTCTATTGTACTACGCTACCAACAGTAGACTAGATCTTACGGATCGCGCAGATTCGTTGAGACTACATGTAGTCTGCAGATAGATGTGCTCGACACTGCTGTCGAATCCGCTTTTAACATGCACAAGTCCAGTGCAAACAGCGTTCTGGAAGATGCACGTCAGGCCATCAGCGGTCTAAGGTTACTTGCGATCATTCATTGTTGATATCGGTTGAGTGCTTGATGACGAGACCTTGTCGGTATACTAGCGTGAGCCCGCTGTCGACTCTCAGACAAATTATGTACAGCAGTAGTTCACGCCAATAGCGGCGCCATTGCTGTGCCGTGTGTTCTCCTATCTATGCCTTGTTTGGTCTCACAATGAGCTTGAACTCACCAAACACCTTCGTATCTACACAACCCATGCGATCTAGGGGTTCGTCAAAACTTTCACGGGACGTTCCTGATATACCCATCTGTCGTGTATTTCAGCGATGGTTTTTGAATATTTCGGCGTCAAAGAGGGATCACCTTCCTCCGACTGACAAAAGGCGAGGTACTTACGTACAACGCCGTGTGCAATGCGAAGTACAGTCCTTTGGTAGGCACGAGTGTTCGAAAAAAGGACACATCTTGACAGCGTCGTGAAATACCCTTCAATCTTTCGGCCTTCGAGACTATCTTGTTATACCCACACGTTCGTTTTACCAACAGTGGATGACCATGGCGAGATGCGAGTCGATGCACAGAACTGGGCAGCAGCAGCGATAGAGAGCAAAAGCGACGAAAAGGAGATATCAAGAGCTATAAAGGTGTGCACCGTATCTACGGCCGAAGTATCGCAGTCGTCTCTCGCTACTGCTGTCGACGCAAGCGGCTCCGGATAATCAGCTACCTGCGAAAATCATTCGCCGAGAAGACAGGAGTATTCGTTCGAAACTTGCTGATTGGAGGGTGGCTCCTTTCGTGGGGTTCGTCTGAACATCTGCTCACTCTACACCCCCTGACACCAGCAACAGCACAGTATTAACGACCAAAAGGCATGCATTGTAGATATAAGGTGCCACTGACATGGTTTGTTATGGCGTTACCACATGCTTTCGCAGCAAACTTTTGGATTTCAACAATCTGATGACAAGCTTCGATATCAACGTACGGGTGAACAATGTGAAAATGCCTCCTATAAGCACGTCATGTGGGGTGCTACACACCTAGGCAAGCGGGGGCTTCCCAGAAAGAAAGAAACAGAACGATGCAACATGTGACGCGTATGGTGAAGAAAGTTGCTGGTTCGACACTGATTCTCTGTTGAATCAATCTTAAATGGTTACGCGAGGCAGAGATTAGGAGGGATGGAAAGAGACAGAGAGAGAGGGGGAGGGAGGGAGAAATAAAAGATGGTCAATTTCCCCTACAGAAATAACGGTTGCTGTACTCACTTGGATATGATTGCTAGGCACAAAACGCTAAGAAGGAAGAAGCGAACATGTTGACAACATAGAATCAACGGCCCAATGTTGGCCGTATTTCTTGTATGTGGTAAAATGTCCACAGGACTAACAGAACGCGGGCGCTCCCTACCCCTGTGTAAATACCTGATCTACTGTAGTGTTACTCTCTTGTCTCTGTCAGCTGCCACATGCACACCCCAATGCCGGTCTCGACATGGAAACTACACTTGAGACATGGAAACCACACTTGATGTTATGTGGCATCGACGTGTACACCTTCGCAGAGCAGTTCAGTCTCACGTCACAGCCACCTGTGGAGTTGCTACTCCAAGGGTCCGAGGGCACCATCAATGGCCTCTACATAGTCTATTGACCATCCCAAGAGCCAAGCTACTGTGCCAATATTTGAGGAATACCTAGCCTCGCGTTTTCAAAAAGGTGTGTACACCTTGCCTCTGCGTATTGGTTTCTTGGCCGTTTTCTTGAACGCTCGTCCCGCATTTGTTCAAAACCCCTGCTGACAGTCGAAGTTCGAGGTCAAGTACGGCCCAACATGGCACTGTATCGTTGGCACGGACTTCAAAGCTTTCGTCACGCACGAGAGCAAGCACTTCGTTTTCTTCTACCACGGGAAAATGGCTTTCTGTCTGTACAAAGCCGGATAGCCATTGTCGGGGGAAACCAAAGTGATCCGTGCGGTCACGGCCGGGGCAAGAGCTACATTGCCGGGCGAGAGGGGCGGGAAGTTACTTGGGGGGGCTGCTTGCCTAAGCGCAAGGGTATAAATACGTCGCCCCTCCTTAGGACACCCGTGGTTTCGTCGCAACATGTATCCTTATTCAGCCGGGGTATAGTCCTTAAGACTCGTACCCCCCCCTATGATTGTACATCCTGCGGAGCACCACCATGCCTGTGTAAAAAAAACGTGTCTTCACCGATGGCTGCACCGCTGTTACTCTTTTTGTAAAAGAATATTGGTGTGTTTGCGGCGTGTGTCCGGCCCAACCCTGGATTTCGTTGCCGTGCTTCTTTGGCGGGTAGTACAATATGATCCATCCGGTCACAATACAACGTCGAGAGCTTCCGACGTTTGGTTCATTGCAGAGATTTTCTGGCTTGGAAAGTTGTTTCAAGGCTTGCTTGAGCCTATCCTGCTGTCTCTTTGAGTAGTCTCCATTATATTCTTTCTTGGTTATTGTTCTTGAAGCGGTATGCGAATCCCCACCCCTACAATGCTTTCGTTCTGCAGCGAGATGTAGAAGCATTCGACGCAGGTCGTCGTCGGTGGGAGGGTACCGACGTGGACGAAAGCAGCCTGCGTGTTTGAATATATGGGTCCATGTGTGAGCTCTTGCAAAACCCGCGACAGAACAGAGCTGTCAATCTGTATACGTCTGGCAGTCGTACTTGACTACTGCTGCATTGCACAAGTCAATGTAAGCCCCGCCATGGAAAGATGGCGGACGCGTCGACGTAAATATTTCAACATTCAATTCTGATGAGAGTGCCGGCAGACCTCTAGTTGCTTGGGGCTAAGATTGATGAAAAACACTTGAGTGGGGACGTTTGTTCATCCTGTTCCCCTTGACGCTGGGATACATACCCCAACGACGGCCATCGGCTGAAAAGTAAACTGACAGCTTAAATAGTGAGGTACTGCAGGCACTCTATAACTGGTGCAGGACTTATGTTGAACATGTTCGACGCCACCCGTCTGACCTGCTTCGCCTACAATACAACCTCTGAGCAAGCCTTACCCATCACCGCCACACATGTACATATATATGCATAGTTCAAGAGCAAGTCGCATGATTAACGGTCGTTCTCTGAACAATGAAGATATCGGACGTGACTTTATGCACCCGGTCGCCCCGGTGGCCTAGTGGTGTCCTCTAAAACCGCTAGTCGCAAAGGTCGTGAGGTCGAATACCCATGGGCTGAAAAAAATGTGAACTTTGCGGGTGAAAGCGAAAGATAGTTGAAAAGCTCTCGTGAGTACCAAACTTCGACGTTAGTTAGCACCGTTGACGAGGGAAAGGGACCGCTGGACCCTTCACGCGATAAAAATAGAAACTCAGCACGCACCGCAGGGGGAAGGTGTGACCCTGGGTGGTTGTCCTTGTACGAAAAAATACACTGAAAAGTGTAGCACTCTACATACGCTGAAAGAGTGTAGTACACGTCTCACCACGAAAAATGGGGGGATTGTCGCCAAAATATATAGGACGAAAACACAACAACACAGGAGCCAGACTTGCAGAAAGTAGTAGGCGAGGAAACGCCAAAGAAGAGAGCGTTGATCCGTTTGGAGGAAGCGAAAGGCAAGGGAGTTTTGTCGTGGTTGACGACGCAAGGGTTGCCAGCAGATGAAAGAATGCCTGATCTATATCGAGAGTCAATCGGTCGTGTACTGGGGAGTCACGATCGAGCAGACTGCAACACAGGCAAACTTTGTGGTGCAGGTGCATTGTTACCATGCAAGGACTGCTTGAGCCGAGCCCANGCGTTGATCCGCTTGGAGGAAGCGAAAGGCAAGGGAGTTTTGTCGTGGTTGACGACGCAAGGGTTGCCAGCAGATGAAAGAATGCCTGATCTATATCGAGAGTCAATCGGTCGTGTACTGGGGAGTCACGATCGAGCAGACTGCAACACAGGCAAACTTTGTGGTGCAGGTGCATTGTTACCATGCAAGGACTGCTTGAGCCGAGCCCACTCCCTCGTCTGCACCAAGACCGGCGCCTCAACCTTCCTCCATAACAGGATGGTTCGAGTAGTCCTCAAGACACTGCGCGAGTGCCATATGCCCATCGCCGTTGAGGATTCTTCCCATTTTACCACAGGCATTGGTAGGGGAAAGGAACTATACAAGATGGATTTGGTAATCCCCCCAGGATTACACGCAGGAGAGAAGGAAGAGGACCTCTGCACCAAGTCCATTCTGATCGACGTAACAATCGTCAACCCATCAGCAGGTCGAAGCATCGACAAGTCGATCCTTAAGCCAGGATCCGCCCTCGAAGATCGAGCTGCAAGTAAGGCAAATCACTATGCGGGAACTTTCAACCCGTCTAGATCTACCCTCCTTACTGCTGCTTTTTCAACGAATGGTGGTCTTGGCAAAGGCACCAATCGACTCATCGTTGCTATCGCCAACCACTTGGCGCACGAAGCTTTTTGCCGGGGGAATTTTGACGACGAGAGGGCCTTAGTTCGCCTGAAAGCTTTTCATACTAACAGGATTCGGAGACGGTTTACCTTCGAGCTAGCTCGTTTTCTGTCGATGCGAACTCGCGATGTGTTCAAACTTCATGGGCTACTGATCGACCAACTTCCACCAGGGCCAATCGGTTGGGATCTCTCCGACAACGATGGTAGTGAGGGTAATTCTTTTGGGAGTGATGAAGACGAAGGAAAGGGAAAGGGAAGAAAGGAGGACGAAGACGACGATGGAGCAGGAAAACATGGAGGAGTGGAAGAGAGCAAAGGGTTTGAGCCAGATGACCTTCCCCATTACAAGAAACGTAGGGCTAGGGAAGAACTGCCCAGAGATTATTCTTGTCAAAATGAGGATCAGAATGATGGTAGCGAAAACAAGGAGGATACTGGTGAAAGTACTCCTAAACGAACTCGAGTACTAGGTAATAAGCCTTGGTAGCCGGGTGCAGTTTTCTTCTGTTGCTGCTGTTTCTGTTTTTGATCCGAAGGATAGTTTAGCCTCCCCCATGCTACCCCCTCACGGGGTCCCAGTTCATGGTAAAATGAAGTGTTTTGTGTTTTCAACCGCACTACAAGACTGACGTCTTTTCATTGGTCAGCCGGTTAGCGCGGTCGATAATAATAAACGCACACCCAGCAGCACATCTTGTCTTCCCCCCACAATGTTGCACTGCTGTAGAATGTGTGTTCGAAAAGACAGACTTTCTGCCGTCACCGTATCTGCTTCCCCTTCTCGATCTTGTGTTGAGTTACAGTAGCCGAGTCTGTACCTATAGACTGCAGCAGTGCACCATTGTCTACAGAGTGTGGCTTGGTTTGTATAATCGAGCGGATCCTTGCAGTCTGTAGCGTGACACGTTTGTGCTGCCCGTTACGTTCCATTTTGTCGTTGTAAGACTGCCCGAAGAACGCCCACAACTTTTGAAATCAGTTGAATTCGCACGGACGTACTGTTGAAGACGCAGAGACGAGCTCTATGGTGAAGAGGTGATCTGTCGATGGCTCTGCATGAGATAGATCTATGTCATGTGCGGCGCGTTTTTTCGGGCTGGGGGGGCTGATTACGTTGCGTACCCCCTCCTGTTCCAAGAATGGAGGAGGACGATAGCCGCTCACCCCTTCGTGGTTCTCACAGACAGAGCGATAGAGCGAGAGACTACAGTAACGCAACGCGTTGCGTGGTAGAAGCTTTCTGGCGGGTTGAGGTGAGCCAACGGCGTGGCTGCACTTCACAACTGTGCTGCCGTCGTCCGCGGGCAAGCTCGGAGATCGACTGCCGCGGTTAGGAGCAACAGCTCGGTGGCTCTACGTTGGGTGCACCAGTGAGGGACACGCAGCAGCAGCAGCAGCAGCAGCAGCGTAGCGGAAGACACCATGAAGGGGAGGAGGCATGGAGGAGGCGCTCTAGCAGCACTCCTCATATCCTGGCTGGTTGGTCATGGGTCAGGTGAGCGCAGCATCCCGGCATGCGTTTCTTGGTGTGATCTTGCTCCATCGACTGCTGGAACTTTTGGGTTGGCTCCTGCTGGTGCTGCGCTTGGGTGTAGTCCATGTGTCCAGCAAGGTGTGTTCCAGAGACTGTATCTCTGTCTGCATGCAGTAGTCTTCTTTGGCAGCAGTGCAGGTGGCTGCATTTCTCTTCTTTTTTACCGTGTGCCTGTGAGTACTCTTCCTCCGGTGCGCAGCTTGCGACGGCTGTGCAACTCTCAAGCAGGCGCGGACATGTCCCCCGCAACCTTTTAGATATTTTATGTGCAGCTCTAATTTTATGTCTCGTACGTACTCTTCGTCCACCGCTCACGCTCGTTGCTCTCGCAACTCCAACGCTCCAACCGACACAATCCCCTGTGCGATCTACTCGAAGGGCCGGCTGCAAGCATAGTGCGCAGCGCGCCGCTGCCTGCTCACCGTGTGGCGAAATTGCACCCCCCCACACTCCAAAGATTTCGCGCAGTCCCAAGAATGAAGCAGCAGCACACACACGAAGTAGTAGTTGCGCATGCAAACGCTGAGATCCTGCAGGGGAGAGACGACGACACTCCGGAGACGCCGGCAGCACACACACATCCCCCGGAAAAGCTTACCTTACGCTTTGAGCGTACGCATAGCAGCGCCCGACCGGCTGGCGGGGGGGGGGGGGGGGACTACCGTACCCATGTTCGCTACAACCACCTCCCATCACCAATATCATGCCCCAGGGTTCCTTGAAGTTGGACACGATAAAAATTGGTAGCTTGCAACGCCTGTATGCGGAGCAGCAGCCACGCACCGCAAGCTGCTGTCTCCCATGAGACAAGCGTGCACCCGCGGGGCGCTGATCGGCCTGCAACCAGCGAGAAGAAATTAGCGGACCCCATTTCTATAAGCTAGGCACATCCAATAATATATATACATCGGCGCTGTTGCGTGATGTGCGGTGGTGTGCAGCGAAAAAATCATTCTGTAAATCTACCACGCCCTCAAGAAAAAAAACAACGAAAGTGGTGGTGGGCGTGTTCTTCAACAACGACCGACCGCTTCACGCCGCTGTGACGGGTTGTGCAACAAGAGGGTGTCGGCGTACGGCAGTCAACCTACGGACGTTTGCGCGCGGCACGTGCTCTGTCTGTTTGGCTCTTGTAGCATTGCTTTCACTGCTGTGGCTCTCCTTGCAAAAAAGAAAATGTGACAGGTTTCGTGCCGTTGCCTCTACTACTTTAGGTTGCGTAAGATAACACACCCCCTGGGCCGATTTTCAAAGATCGATTACTCCACGATGAAGAGAATGACGAACTTGAGGTATACGTTTTCGGAAAGCTCTCGACGAGGCGGTTCCAACGCCTAACGCCATTCTCGACACCGTCACTGATTTTCCAGCCGAGGTACCGAGTTTCGAAAATCGGTCCAGGGGGTGTGATATATAACGCAACGTACGGTACAGCGGTGCAATCGAGCACAGCCTCCGCAGCTGTTGTCAAGTACATACAGCAGCAGTCAAACTAGGCCTGTCCTCCATCGGCCGTTTTATTTTCGATTTAGATACACAAACTTTATTTCTATACTAATTTCAAGTAATTCCACCTTCTTATTCTCCGTCATACAAGCAAAACGGCCGATGGAGGACAGGCCTAAGTCAAACAGTATTGTCTCGTATGGGCTCTGTGTGTGGCGTCCACGTCTCCAGCTTTTGCTCTGGCGGGCATGTTTACCGAAAACATGTCGACGAAATTAAACCAACACGAGCCGCCTGCATTGCGCCACTTTGTAGCACAAGTCTACGCAGTTTTTTTTTTTCCTGCATGCTCCTCAAATCAGTTGGGGCAGGGTTAGGGTTAGCATCTGCGTGCCCCCCATCCTTGGTCCTCTTTCGCAGTAAACTCTCCTGTCGTAGCGAAAGGCCGGGGTGTGATGCACCCTTCTACTACTCGTCTGCACATGTGATGTTGGTGTTGTTGCGTTCCGCGTTCCGTGTTGGTGGAAGGTTTGGTGCGGTTGGCCGGTCAACCCGTACCACCGGCCTCAACAGGGATGTTTTTGCTTTGCTCAAGGGCCGGGAGGCTTGCCAACAGAACCTACTGCTGTTGTGTATACTTCATCCTGTTAGCAAATTGCCGTATTTCTTCCTCGTGCGCGGTCTCGACGACTTTTTGTGATTTTTTCCACGATTGCGAGGTTTTTGTTTTTCCACGCATGAAGCAGCTCATTGTGCATACGCTACACACATTGCTTACACAGTACCAGAGGTTGCAACAACTTTTCCTTTGCGAGACTCTACCACGTAAGTCAACGACAACATTCCGGGAAGATATTTCCCGCCATTCCGTATGCTACTCAGCCCCCTCTTCCATGGGAAGTCCACGAAGCATGTCTTCGCTTTGCAACATTTTCCAGCCGCTGCTGCTTTGAACTTGTGTTCGTTGGTAAATATGCCGGCGTGCAATCACTCCACCGCAAGAATTAAAACGTGGATCCACGGCAACCGTGGCGAAAAAACACCCACCAAGCTTGTTGGGGTGAATTCCGCATCGAGGTGGTGGTTGTCGTTGGATTGCGCTACAATTCTCACTAGGCGTCGATCTTGCTCCGGTGCCATTCGCACTGAAGTTTCCCCTCTCTTTGGCGAGCGCATATGACCATATGATCAATACACCAAACACCGCTTAGATCACGTGAGACGCCGTGACCGGTCAGCACCCTCTAGTGTTCTTGCTCCAGCAGAGGCAAGGTTGGGATGAGCCAGCGGCAGAGCAAGAATAGAGTCAAACGCGCGCCGACCAACCGCTGTTTTGACGCATTGATACGTCTGATAAACGACCAGTCCAACTCGAACTACTTCGCGCGTGCATTTGTGCTTTGTGTTATAGACCGCCCACTGCCCTTGGTACAATCACCCCCGCCGCGCTGCCGCCCCTTGTCCCTCCGTTCGCACGACACCTAAAACAACTTTCTCCCCCTCACAGCAATACCGTATATGACACAAGATAACACACCCCCTTGACCAATTTTCGAAGCTCGATTTCTCAATTTCAGGAACAGTCACAGCGCCGAACTCTGCGGCGTTGAAATCGTCTCGCCGAGAGCTTGTCGAAAATGTATCGTTTCGTGTATGCATCCTCTTCGTCGTAGAGTAATCGAGCTTTTAAAATCGGTCCAGGGGGTGTGTTATCTTGTGTATATACGGTAGTCCAATTACCGCAGTATACATGGCGAGTTTTTTTTCATCCAGTCAAAAAAACCTTAACATCGGGTTTCCTGCCCGTGCTACTCCTTGCCCAGATTCTCACAAAGCAGGCATTTCTTGTGCACACCCTGATTGCAACGTGCGCACCCCACCCTCCCCCCNCCCCCCCCCCTCTTGTCCCCCACGGCACCTCCAGCCTTCATCCCGGCATCGCTGATGGGGCCCAAGGCGACCGACATCCAGGGCGCGGCGCAATCGTCGAGCTTCGCGGCAACCTCGTCTATCTCAGCCACAGTGCGGGGACGTGGTGGTGACCTGGGCGGCGTCAGAGGCTTAAAGGCGATTGCCGCGGCTGAGAGCACCGACGTCATCTCCCCGCAGGGCGAGGAGGACAAGATGGGGGAGTACATCAAGAGCCGGGGTGGATCTCTTCCTATCCGAAAGGTGACTTGCTTTTTTCTTGGCACGCCGAAAGATATACTGCTGTTGTCCCTGACAAGGGAGGGATGTGGACCCAGTCGACCATTGTTCTTCTATTGATCATGGTGTGATACACTTGTACTAGTAAAAATGTGCATGTTTTTTTGTACAAGTACAACATGTGTATGTGCGCGCGCTGTGTGGTCAGCGAGTTTTGGTGCGGTTGTTTCTCCAACAACGTCTCAAAAACAGCCGTTCGTGCTGACGGGCTTGTTAAGTAGGGGTGACGCGGATTGAGGTAGGGGCGACGCGGATGGGGTGGGGGGTGTCGCAACCCTGCAAGAGCCGTGCGGCTAGTCTCTGCGGGTCCGAACCACCTGCTTTTGTCGAAAAGTCACCTTTTGGCTGTGGCCGTTGGTTCAGCACAAGTTGCAGCGGTGAGCCGCTACTAACTAAGGCTATGTTTCAGCACAAGTTGCCACACGGTAGTAAGCCGCTGCTGTGGCTGTTACTTCAGCACAAGTTTGCGGGTCGAAGCTACAGGTTTTGCTGGAATCTGGATCAGAAGTGTATCTCTTCCGTGCCGACGACTTACGGCGAGGTTGGGGAATATTCTCTTGGGCGTTTGTTTCGCCGCCTCTTTTTTTTTTGTTCGCTGGAGCAGATTCTGATCGCCAACAACGGTATGGCGGGTACGAAGGCTATCCTGTCAATGCGGCAGTGGTGCTACCTAGAGCTGGGGGACGAGAAGGCCGTGGAGTTCGTCGCCATGGCGACCCCGGAGGTGAGCGGACGGCGGGGGCGGGGCGTAGGTGGTGGTATCTCACCCTTCTGCCCTCTCTATTGTTGCAGGGTGACGGCTTGGGTAGCAGGTTTGCAATGCAAGGAGTAACGGGCATAGGCATGTTACCAAGTGTAGAATGTGCCCGCTGCTGCTGTCTCTATTTTAGCGGGCTGTGCACGGTTTGTTGTTTGCGGAGAAAGGGCGGCGCCGGTTGTGGTATCAAGGGTAGAAGAAGGGGGGGATGTGCTCACAGTCGTGCATGCCGTAGTCGTTTGACCATTGGCCTCGCATCCCTACAAAGCCGGAACGGCAGAAGAAGAAGGGGGGGTGGGGGGTAGAGGGCCTGGTCGTTGCCGAGCACGGCGGAGCCCGCAGAGTCTACGATTGCCGCTTTTCAAGAATATGTTTAGTTTTCTATGTTCTTGTGCGAAAGAGGGTGGGAATACACACTTGTTGATGTGACGGTACGCGCTCCTGTTGAGCCTATTTTGAGAGTGATTGTTCGGGCGAAGAGATTGCGGGTGCTCTGTGGTGGTAGTGTGGTTATGGAGCATCTGAAAGGCACTTAGAAGAACGGCAACTCCCTATTCCTACAAACGCCGCCGTTCGCTTCTCCTTCTTTCGACGTTTCTCGTTACACCCGGGAGAGTAGCAACTATTGTGCTGTTTCCCCCATGACACCGTCCGCTTTTTTGTTCGCGGTTCCTCGGACGTTTTCGCACACCATGTCTTTTCTTCAGGACCTTCTCGCGAACGCGGAGTTCATCCGCCTGGCGGATGCCATCGTAGAGGTCCCTGGGGGAAAGAACAGCAACAACTACGCTAACGTCGACCTCATCGTCGACACCGCCATCAAACAGGTCGGTGCCGCGGAGCCCCCTCGTGCCGCGGGGCCCCTTGAGAGACTTGCAGCACACAACATGCACGAAACAAAAGCCGCGTGTATAACGGATGATGCCATGATTGGGCACACGTCGGCTATAGGCGGGGCATCGACGGAGTGTGGCATGGGGCGTTGGGGGCGCATCGATCGGTGTCTGATTACAATGTTCCCGACGACCCCGACCGGTGATGTCGGGCTCTCGTATGTACAAATAAATGACGTGTACAACCCAGTGCCTGTTGACCCCCTTGCCCTCTCCCTGCTGCTCGAGGACACTGCTTGCTGCTCTAGGCCACTTGCTGTTCATGTAAGCGACTGCTTGCTTCTCTGACCCACTCCGTGTTGCTCTACGTAGGCGTGGTGCGTACGGCCTTGGGTAGTAAAGGGCTGATCAATGAGATAAATACCCCGTTCCAGCCTCGTGGACATTTCCTGCGAGGTCACTGACCCAACCGCTACAACATTCCCCACGGCATGCGCTTACGTGAGNCCCCCCCCCCCCCCCCCCCCCCCCCCCCCCCCTCGACATCTCCAACGAACAGGGCGTGGACGCGGTGTGGCCCGGGTGGGGACACGCCTCGGAGAACCCCCAGCTGCCCACCCGCCTGACGGACAACGGCATCAAGTTCATTGGCCCCACCGCCCCGGTGATGTCGGTCCTCGGGGACAAGATCGCCGCGAACATCCTCGCCCAGACCGCCAAGGTGCCGTCCATCCCGTGGAGCGGTGACGGGCTGGAGGCCAAGCTGACTGATGTGAGAGATGATATAGTTGTTGAGGTCGGGTCGGGTCGGACGATTTTTTTAAGTCTCGAAGTACTATACGGATATAGACGCGTTTTTTTTTTTTATGCCTTTGTGCCAATAGACATGTGTTTTGTGGAAGTATGATCCGTAGAGTTTTTTTCTTTTCTTTTCTTTCGTGAATGGCCACGGTTTCTGTTTCGAGCAAGGTTTTGTTGAGCGAAGATGTTCCTTTCAGTGTACGCTTGGAGCGTACGGGTTAGTTCGCCATGAAAGGGGAACGCCTTTGTGTATGTGGAGCGTACAAGGCTCTGGTGCGTGTCAACGTCCATGTTGCAATGATGGTGGCGTCGTTGAACACGCGTGATTATTGTTACTGTTTCTTTCATGGCAGCGTCGTTGGGATTAGGGTCAGCTTGGATTTCGCTGCTGTGCGGGTTGACTCTCCCTCTCTGGTGGTTGCAGGAGGGCACCATCCCGGACGAGACCTTCCGGAAGGCTCAGGTGACCACCCTGGACGAAGCCCTAGCTGCCGCCAACCGCATCGGCTACCCCGTGATGGTGAAGGCCTCGGAGGGAGGCGGAGGAAAGGGCATCCGGATGTCGCACAGCGATGAGGACATGCGCTCTCACTTCGTGCAGGTGCGGTTGGGTCTGGGGGGGACGCATATTGGGCTTGGGGAGGGGCGTACGCATGCCTTAGTTGTGAAACCAGGGGGGGGGGGGG